GTCTTGGTAAAAACCACTGTGAAAACCACTGATCCAGCCAGCTCAACTGCTTTGGTATTCCTCAAACACAGCAGGCACATTCCTGCTTAGGGACTTTTCCCTCTCGCCGAAACACTCTGTGTCGAATGGCAGCATGGCTTGTACCCTTACCTCTGTCCAGTGTCATATTCTCAGAGAGATCATCCTTGACACCCCTATTAAAAATCACATGCAACATCTGGCATACTCAGTTCTTCTTCCTCTCTTTGTATTTTCTCCATAGCACTTAGCACCACTGACATACTGTTTTACTGTCAGCTCCATGAGGCAGGGCTGTCAGATCTGTCCGTTGCTGCCTCTCTACCACCTAGAATATGCCTGACACATAGAGGACAATGAATGCTTGTTGGATGAATAAATCCGTAAAATGGAATAATGATGGTTCCTACTTCATAAGGTCATCATGAGGATTAGTGACTTAAAAGAGCTTTTAGAACAGCACCTGGGGCAGAGTAAGTCTCAATAAACGATACCTAGTATTATTATGATTAGAGGGGAACCAAAAACATTTGGTGTACTATTGTGGAGATTCGGAGCCTTCATCAGGGTGTTTTTCCTTCTAGTTGTGTTGGACATGGGATTTGCTCTCTATAGAAGGTTCTTTGTTCCTGAAAATGGGTCTCCGGTGAGTTCAGTTTCTTTCTTTTTCAAACTAGAAATTTGTTTACTGTCAAAAAGGGTTACCAAATAGGGGTTACAACGCTGTGATTTAGGACAGCCATATTTCCATTTGGAAGTGAAGACAATTTTTAAGGAAATCAGACTTTTGAATTGTCCTTCAGCTTAACTCTCTCATAGCCCTGATCACTGGTTCTTCTTCACCGCACCTGCCATATTGGTAGCTATTCAAAAACAGGAGAGAATGGATTTTCCTGTCCACTTAGAATAAAAAGCAGATTGGTTTAGCCAGGCATGATGGCATATGCCTGTAGTCCCAGCTACTTGGGGAGCTGAGATGGGAGGATTGCTTGAGTCCCAGAGGTCGAGTCTGCAGTGAGCTGTGATCATGCCACTGCACTCCAGTGTGGGTGACAGAGCGGAGACCCCATTTCAAAAAACAAAACAAACAAGCAGATTGGAAAACAGCGATGAAAATTTGGGAAATTAAATGCATAATAAAGAAAATTGACAAAGATTTCCAGCTTTGCTGGGATTTGTCTTTGAATTGGGTAGTTTGTTTGGGTGTTTGTGTGTATATTATTACTTTTGTTTTAATTATGATATCCCATGTATGTGGGATCAGATTATGCTGCTACAGAGATCCTTCATGGAAACTCAACCGTTCTCTTAGTTGGCATTATACAGAATTATTTTAAATGCAATGATGATCAAGAATGAGAAACAATTTCTCTGTCTTTTGTACTCAGAGAATGGGTGAAAAATGACATTTTTAAGCTTTATATGTTTCCAAGTATCTTCTCTCTGTGCATATGAAGTTTTGTGCCTCTTTTGCCTTACCCCCTAGTTCTCTAGACCTTTAAGACCCTTGTTTGACTGTGGTGGTATTTGTGTTTGAATAAGAGAGATGCCACTGAAATACACAATTAGCATTGTCTTCACTTATTTCCATTTCCCCCCCTTTTCTCCAAAGGTGTCTTTTGCAGCTCACATTGCAGGTGGATTTGCTGGAATGTCCATCGGCTACACGGTGTTTAGCTGCTTTGATAAAGCACTGCTGAAAGATCCAAGGTTTTGGATAGCAATCGCCGCTTATTTAGCTTGTGTCTTGTTTGCTGTGTTTTTCAACGTTTTTCTATCTCCAGCAAACTGACCTGCCCCTATTATAAGCCAACTAATAAAAAGAGCCATCTGGAGGAAGAAAAAAAAAGGAAAACCCTGTGAAGAAACAGAGGTCTCAGCAAAGGCTAACAATTTTATATAGAAGACAAAACAGCATTAAATTAATTAGTTTCAAGGATTGCCTACAAAAGGATCTTAGGATTTAAGGAAGGGGCTTCTGAACGTAGAAAGGGAAGAAGAGAGAAAAGAAGGGTAGTAAAAACTAGAGATGGGGGCCAGCCGCGGTGGCTCACGCCTTTAATCCCAGCACTTTGGGAGGCCGAGGTGGGTGGATCACGTGAGGTTGGGAGTTCAAGACCAGCCTGGCCAACCTGGAGAAACTCCCACCTGTAATAAAAATACAAAATTAGCCGGGCGTGGTGGCACGTGCCTATAATCCCAGCTACTTGGGAGGCTGAGGCAGGAGAATCGCTTGAACCTGGGAGGCAGAGGTTGCAGTGAGCTGAGATTACCCCATTGCACTCCAGCCTGGGCAACAGGGTGAAACTTCATCTCAAAAATAAATAGATAAATAAATGAATATAAAAAAATACAAAAGTTAGCTGGGCGTGATGGCGTGTGCCTGTAGTTCCAGCTACTTGGGAGGCTGAGGCAGGAGAATTGCTTGAACCCGGGAGGCAAACGTTGCAGTGAGCTGAGATCACATCACTGCACTCCAGCCTAGGAGACACAGTGACACTCCGTCTCAAAAAAACAAAAACAAAACAGAAAAACACCCTAGAGATTGGGTCTTCCTCAGGCATATGGTATCCTATAAAACAGACTTACTCTCTTGGAGGATATATTTTGGAGAACGCTTGATAAAATCTATGAAAACTGTACAATGCTGATAATAAAAACTTTTTTATACGTGTCAGACTCCTGATAATCACTTTAAAATAGATCACTGTTTGAGGAGATAGATCACTACTGTTTGAGGCGTTTCATATACTTTATCGATAATGTTGTCAACCACCCAGAAAGGTAGCTATTACTCTGCATCTTAGAGTAATCTTAATTCCTTAAAGAATTAAGTACTTGTCTGAGAGGAGCAGAATTTAAACACAGAAAATGACTTGGAAACCTGTAGTCTCCCCTATAGGTCCCACAATGCTGTGCTCCTCAAATACTGAAAAATAAGAATATCATAGGAGTCCAGGAACAAATGCCTATGCGGGGTACATCATGAACGGCGGAAATACCTCACAGAAGAAGGCTGCAGATTTTCTGGACTGCTAGTTTAAGATTCTGATACCGTATCTAAGATCCCAAGGAAACTGGCACTGTCTTTCTGGGGCACATTATATACCTAGACTTCAGATTCTCATCTGTGATCAGACTGTCATCCTTCGTGCAGCTCATGGTTCCCCTAAGAGTGGGTAGGAATTTATTTGCAAAAGCTAAAATGTCATACCCAAAAGCTGAGAAGCATGTGTCCTTTTCCTCTATAGAATTCAGACTGTGGTTTATTATGCTTTAGAAATGGTAGTTTTAAGTCATCTGAACACAGGAAATATAATTTTTTCTTTTGTCATCAACATGTTTATTAAACATCCATCTAAACACGTTACTGTATTCTGGAAGGGGCATACACTTAGATATGGTGAGAAAATTTACTTTAATTTTTAGAAAAACTGATCAGAAATTTGTTTAAAAAGTTAAGTATGAACATGGGAATATGAGTGTTATTTATTTATTTATTGAGATGGAGTCTTGCTCTGTCTCCCAGGCTAGAGTGCAGTGGCCTGATCTTGGCTTATTGCAATGTTTGCCTCCTGAGTTCAAGCGATTCTCTTACCTAAGCCTCTCCAGTAGCTGGGATTACAGGTGCATGCCACCACACCTGGCTATTTTTTATTTTATTTTTACATGAAGTCTTGCTCTGTTGCCCAGGCTGGATGCAGTGGCACGATCTTGGTTCACTGCAACCTCCGCCTCCCAGGTTCAAGCAATTCTCCTGTCTCAGCTTCCTGAGTAGCTGTGATAACAGGTGCCCACCACCAAGCTTGGCTAATTTATATATTTTTTGTACAGATGGCATTTCACCATTTGGCCAAGATGGTCTTGGACTCCTGACCTCAAGTGATCCGCCCACCTCGACCTCCCAAAGTGTGGGGATTACAGGTGTGAGCCGCCATGCCTGCCTGGCCTTATGAGTGTGTTCTTGGTTAAAGAAAGATTCAAACAAGAAGTTAAAAGATAAAATCTCAGCCAGGTGCAATGACTCATGCCTATAATCTCAGCACTTTGGGAGGCCAAGGTGGAAGGACTGCTTGAGCCTAGGAGTTTGAGAACCGCCTGGGTAACATTCAAGGACTCTATAAAAAATAAAAAATAGCCAGGTGTGGTGGTGCTTGCCTGTAGTTCTAGCTACTCCAGAGGCTGAGGTGGGAGGATCACTGGAACCCAGGAGTTCAAGATTGCAGTGAGCTATGATCATGCCACTGCCCTCCAGCCTGGGTGACAGAGTGAGACCCCGCCTTAAAAAAAAATCTCCTTTTACCTTCTCACTTCAAACCTCCTGTTTTCCCCTAGTGATGACCATCATCAGTGGTCACAACAGTATGGTGTGTATCCTTGCAGGCCTTTTTCTATATAGGATGAGCAGAAAGGGAAATAGATTTAAGTTGATGGCCAATTCATCCACTGTTTTGAACTGCACTGAATCTGCTCTACACCCCCAAAGGGACAAATTCAAAGAACAAATTAGAGGTGTCCATGGTATAACTTCCCCTAAGCATGATTTGCTTCTCAGATTTATCGAAACTAGGAAAAGTTTGTGTTAATCTGGTTTAGCTTTATATATGTGTGTGTATATATATATACATACACATATGTATATATATAAAAGTATATATAAAAACATATATATAAAATTATATATATAAACATGTATATATAAATATAAAAGTATATATATATATATATTTTTTTTTTTCTTGAGACAGGATCTCGCTCTGTCACCCAGCCTGGAGTGCAGTGGTGCTATCTTGGCTCACTGCAACCTCTGCCTCCTAGGTTCAAGTGATTCTTCTGCCTTCGCCTCCAGGGTAGCTGGGATTACAGGCATGTGCCACCAAGCCCAGCTAATTTTTGGTATTTTTAATAGAGACAGGTTTCACCATGTTGGCCAGGCTGGTCTTGAACTCCTGACTTCAGGTGATCCACGTTGTTTCGGCCTCCCAAAGTGCTAGGATTATAGATGTGATCCTCCACGCCCAGTCAGAATATTTTTAATTAGATTTTTTTAATCAAATATAGATTTTAACAGGGTAAAATCCTGCTTTACAACATTACCTAGGGACCTTTATTAGTTCATAGTGCTCTTTATTCTCTGAATAATATAGATGTACCACAGTTAACCATTCCTCTGTTGAACACTCAAATTATTGCTGATTTTGTATAATTACCAACAGTGCTATGTGAACATCCTAGCACATGCAGTGTGTCTCTGAGTGTGTATGTTGAATGAATGTTTCAAGTATCCACAAGCAGAAATGCTAGACTAATTTTGATAGGCTTCAACTGCCTTTTAAATAGCTGTATCCATTTATATTATTACCTACAGGATATGACAGGAATGGTGTCTCCCTACTTTGCCAAAAGAAGTTATTATAAATCTTAAAATTTTTGCATTTTGATAGTTAAAAAGTAATATTTCACTTAAATGTGTATTCTCTGACTACAAGGTTGAGCAATTTTCAAGTTTATTGATAATTTATGTGTTACACATAATATGTAATTCAGATAACACATACCCGCCAGATCACTAGCTCTGAAGAGAGCTTTAATGACCTAAAATACAATGTAATTGTTAATAACAGAACATGAGAATCAGGATTTATCTATGAAATCGGACATGACCCATTTATTAAGGCAGATGACCAAGAAGCTATTATCTAATAAGAAAGACTTTTTTAGTTCTAGAAACATGGTTTATTACACAAAAACAATGACAGTTTATTGGATTTCCCCAATGGCAAAAGTCACAGTACAAACAGTACACAAATACCTCCTGTCATTTTAAATTTGACATCTCTGCAATATAGAGGAATCATTCACTCAGCTTAATTTGGGGCTTATGACTTTAGTCATCTAGACTACAGTGTGTTATTAGGAATATTAGAAGCATTCTTTGTGCTGTGCAATAAAGCGGCCACTAGGTAAGTGTAGCTCTTTAAATTTTTATTAAAATTATTTAAAATTAAAACTTCAATTGCTGTGATACACAAACAGTATTTCAAGTGTTCAATAGCTACATGTGGCCATTGGCTACCTGATTGGATAGCACAGATAGAATATTTCCATTGTTGCAGAAAGTTCTATTGGACAGTGCTGTTTCAGAAGCAAGGAGGAGCAGAAAGGGAAATGGATTTTAGTTGGTGGATGATTACCTCACTACACTGAACTGAACTGAATCTGCTCTATACCTGCAAAGGAACAAACTCAGAAAATAAATTGAAGATGGCCATGCTGTAACTTCTAAACATGGTTTGCTTCTCAGATTTACCTAAACTAAGAAAGGTTTGTGTTAATCTCTCTGTTTTAGCTTATTAAGAGTTGTTTGAAATGTTTTTATCTTTTGCTTTTGAATTCTATGGTACTTTATCTATGTATACTAGTTTTTATGTCATTTGCTATGAAAGCTATAATTTGTAGCTAAATAATACTGCTCCTTTCAGGAAATACTATGGTGTTATCCTTTACGAAAAAAATCTTTTATTTCTTTTTATAATTGTAAAAGTAAAATGTTCATAGTAAAAAATTAAAATACATACAATTACAACACATTAAGGAATTTGTAATCCCAACATACAGAGCTAATCACAGTTAATATTTTCATGAATATCCTTCTAGACTATTTTGTATACATCTGTAAATATAACTAAATTTATACTCATGGGGCCATATTATTCTATTTTATAACATCAATTTCACTGAAATGAAGTATCAAATGTCTTTTTGTGTATGTTTATCACTTCTACTGGTTGCACAGTATCACATTGTGGATGTATTCCATTATTTAACCAGTTTTTCTTGTATTGATAATTATGTTTTTAGCTTACGACAACATGAATTACATCTGCTTACATGTATTATTATTATTATTTATGAACCATAAATGATACTTAACTTGCTTACATTTTAAAGTGCTTTGGGTTGCTAGGTCAGAGTATGCCATTATTATATTATTCAAGATAAGAGTCTTGCTCTGTCACCCAGGCTGGAGTACAAAGGCGAAATCTTGGCTCACTGCAACCTCCATCTCCTGTGTTCAAGCTATTCTTCTGTCTTGGCCTCCTGAGTAGCTGGGACTACAGGTGTCCACCACCACACCTGGCTAATTTTTGTATTTTTAGTAGAGATGGGGTTTCACTATGTTGACCAGACTTGTCTTGAACTCCTGACCTCAGGTGATCCACCCCCCTCATCCTCCCAAAGTGCTGGGATTACAGGCATGAGACACCACTTGCAGCCCAAATTTTGTAAATTGTTGTCTTGTTAAAATGAACTCCAGGTTGGGCATAGTGGCTCATGCCTGTAATCCCAGCACTTTGGGAGGCCGAGGCGGGTGGATCCCCTGAGGTCAGGAGTTCAAGACCAGCCTGGCCAACGTGGTGAAGCCTGTCTCTACTAACAATACAAAAATTAGCCGAGCATGGTGGCGCGTGCCTGTAGTCCCAGCTACTCAGGAGGCTGAGGCAAGAGAATTACTTGAACCTGGGAGGCAGAGGTTGCAGCCAGTCAAGATTCTACCACTGCACTCCAGTCTGGGCAACAGAGTGAGACTCTGTCTTAAAAAAAAAAAATTATAAAAATTTGTCGTAGCAAAGCATAAGAACTTTATACATATTCATAGATATTACTGAGATGAATTTCTGAAAATGCTCACCAACTGCAGGAAAAAACAAAATTCATTTCAATTTGGATGAAAAAACTAATCTAAATTCCTATGAGAGCCAGATCTATTTCCTCTGGTTTCATTAAATGCTGTATCTTACTGAATTATCAAATGAAGCATATTCATTTTCCTGTGTGTATAAATGAGATTTAAAAATCACTCACTTTTTGGTCAGGCACCGTGGCTCACATCTGTAATCCCTGCACTTTGGGAGGCAGGTGGATCATGAGGTCAGGAGATCGAGACCAACCTGGCCAACATGGTGAAACCCCTTCTCTACAAAAAATACAAAAATTAGCCGGGCGTGGTGGCCATGCCTGTAATCCCAGCTACTGGGGAGGCTGAGGCAGGAGAATTGCTTGAACCTGGGAGGTGGAAGTTGCAGTGAGCCAACATTGCACCACTGCATTCCAGCCTGGGGGACAGAGTGAGACTCTATCTGAAAAAAAAAAAAAAAAAATCATTGACTTTGCTTATAACTTTTATATCAAATAATCTTAATGAATAAGATTAAGATCAAGTCAGTAGTTTTAGAAACCTTTCCAAAAGTTCTCAGTTAAAAACCAATAGGCCAGGCGTGGCTTGTGCCCATAATCCCAGCACTTTGGGAGGCTGAGACAGGTGGATCAACTGAGGTAAGGAGTTGGAGACCAGCCTGGCCAACGTGGTGAAACCTCATCTCTATTAAAAATACAAAAATTAACTAGGTGTGATGGCACACGCCTGTAACCCCAGCTACCAGGGAGGCTGAGGCAGGAAACTGCTTGAACCCAGCAGGTAGAGGTTGCAGTGAGCCAAGATTGTGCCACTGCACTGCAGCCTAAGCGATAGGGCAAGACTCCGTCTCAAAAACCAAAACAAAACAAAACAAGCCTCAAAACAACCACAATAATAATAAACTTCAGCTAAGTAAGATGACTTCTCTCTGATAAGGAATCCTACAATTATACATATTTTTTTAATTTTAATTTTTCTTTAAAGAGATGGGATCTCACTAATATTGACCAGGTAGATCTTGAACTCTTAGCCTCAAGCAATTCTCTCACCTCACCCTCCCAAAATGCTAGGATCACAGGCATGAGCCACTGTGCTCAGCCTGCAATTATATATATATATATGTGTGTGTGTGTACATATATGTATGTGTGTATATATGTATACGTATACTTATATATATACACATATATATGTATACATATATACATTTTTTGAGATTGGGTCTTGTTCTTTTGCCTAGGCTGGAGTGCAGTGGCACAATCTCTGCTCACTGCAACCTCTGCCTCCCAGGTTCAAGTGATTCTCCTGCCTCAGCCTTGAGAGTAGCTGGGATTACAGGCACCTGCCACCACATCTGGCTAATTTTTGTATTTTTAGTAGAGACGAGGTTTCACCACGTTGGCCAGGCTGGTCTTGAACTACTGACCTCAGATGATCTGTACATTGGCTCAAAGTGCTGGGATTATAGGCATGAGCCAATGTACATAGCTTACAATTATATATACACATGTATATATAATTGTAAGCTATAATATTATAAAAATTATTTAAATTTTTTTTTTTTTTGAGACAGTATCTTGCTCTGTTGCCCAGTCTGGAGTGCAGTGATGTGATCTCGGCTCACCGCAACCTCTGCCTCCCAGGTTCAAGTGATTCTCCTGCCTCAGCCTCCTGAGTAGCTGGGACTACAGGCACCCACCACCACTCCTAGCTAATTTTTGTATTTTTAGTAGCGGTGTGGTTTCACCACATTGGTCAGGCTGGTCTCGAACTCCTGATCTCAAATGATCTGTCCACCTCTGCCTCCCAAAGTGCCGGGATTACAGGAGTGAGCCAATGTGCACGGCTTAAAATTATATTCTTTCTGGGGGGTACAGTCTTGCTCTGTTGCCAGCCTGGAGTGCAGTGGCGCAATCTCAGCTCACTGTAACCTCTGCCTCCTGGGTTCAAGCGATTCTCCTGCCTCAGCCTCCTGAGTAGCTGGGAGTACAGGCGAACACCACCACGTCCAGCTAATTTTTGTACTTTTAGTAGAGATGAGGTTTCACCATGTTGGCCAGGATGGTCTTGTTCTCTTGACCTCGTGATCCACCCCCCTCGGCCTCCCAAAGTGCTGGGATTTCAGGTGTGAGCCACTGTGCCCAGCCTCGGCCTATATTCTTAATAGAGAATATATACACTCCTCCTCCAGGTATCATTTTTTTTCATTGTATTATGATGTCTAAATATAAGTCATTTTAAATTCCTGACATCTAAATATATTACTGTTAACAGATTAACACTTTGGCCAGGTGTGGCGGCCCATACCTGTAATGCCCACACTTTGGGCGGCTGAGGCGGGCGGATCACAAGGTCAAGGCAGGAGGATCACTTGAGTCTAGGAGTTTAAGACTAGCAGCAGCAATATAGTATGACCCTGTCTCTACAAAAAATAAAAAAAATTATCTGGTTGTAGTGGCACACACCTGTAGTCCCAGCTATTCGAGAGGCTGAGGTGGGAGGATCGCTTCAGCCTGGAAGGTCGAGCCGCAGTGAGCTGTGGTTGCAACACTGTACTCCAGCCTAGGCAACACAGGGAGACTCTATCTCAACAAACAAACAAAAAACCCTACTGCTATCTAGGGAAGAAGCAAAGCAACCAGCATATGGAAAAAGTGATGCATTGTTATATTTTCACCATAGGTTTGCTTTAAGAAATAGTGCTCCCTTCAGAATGGAAGAATTTATCTGCCTCTTATTTGATGGGGATCAGAGCTACAATGGCTAACTAAATAAACATGGGGGACTGGAATCTCCTTGGAGATACTCTGGAAGAAGTTCACATCCACTCCACCATGATTGGAAAGATCTGGCTCACCATCCTGTTCATCTTTCGAATGCTTGTTCTGGGTGTAGCAGCTGAAGATGTCTGGAATGATGAGCAGTCTGGCTTCATCTGCAATACAGAACAACCAGGCTGCAGAAATGTGTGCTACGACCAGGCCTTTCCTATTTCCCTCATTAGATACTGGGTTCTGCAGGTGATACTTGTGTCTTCACCATCCCTGGTCTACATGGGCCATGCATTGTACCGACTGAGAGTTCTAGAGAAAGAGAGGCAAAGGATGAAAGCTCAGTTAAGAGTAGAATTGGAGGAGGTGGAGTTTGAAATGCCTAGGGATCGGAGGAGACTGGAGCAAGAGCTTTGTCAGTTGGAGAAAAGGAAACTAAATAAAGCTCCGCTCAGAGGAACCTTGCTTTGCACTTATGTGATACACATTTTCACTCGCTCTGTGGTTGAGGTTGGGTTCATGATTGGACAGTACCTTTTATATGGATTTCACTTAGAGCCTCTATTTAAGTGCCATGGCCACCCGTGTCCAAATATAATCGATTGTTTTGTCTCAAGACCAACAGAAAAGACAATATTCCTATTATTTATGCAATCTATAGCCACCATTTCACTTTTCTTAAACATTCTAGAAATTTTCCACCTAGGTTTTAAAAAGATTAAAAGAGGGCTTTCGAGAAAATACAAGTTGAAGAAGGAATATAATGAATTCTATGCAAACAAAGCAAAAGAAAATGTAGCCAAATATCAGAGCACGTCTGCAAATTCACCGAAGCGACTCCCTTCTGCCCCTGATTATAATCTGTTAGTGGAAAAGCAAACACACACTGCAGTGTACCCTCATTTAAATTCATCTTCTGTGTTTCAGCCAAATCCTGACAATCACAGTGTAAATCATGAGAAATGCATTTTGGATGAACAGGAAACTATACTTTCTAATGAGATTTGCACACTTAGTACTAGCTGTAGTCATTTTCAACACATCAGTTCAAATAATAACAAAGACACTCATAAAATATTTGGAAAAGAAGTTAATGGTAACCAGTTAAGGGAAAAAAGAGAAACCAAAGGCAAAGACAGCAAAAAGAACCACCACTCTAGAGGTCACTGTTCTATTCCAGGTGTTGCTATGGATGGAGAGAACTACAGGAGGCAGTCACCCCAAACAGCTTTTTCCTTGCCAGCTAACTGCGACTGGAAACCACGGTGGCTTAGGGCTACATGGGCTTTCTCTACAGATGAAAACTGGGGGTCACCTCCTAAAGGTAACTTCAAAGGCCAGTTCAGAGAGGGCACAGTCAGAACCCTTTCTCCTTCACAAGGAGGGTCTCAATCAATTGACATTCCAAATATTGCCGATTCTTTGGGAGAGCTGTCCTTTGAGCCAGGGTTGGTCAGAACCTGTAATAATCCTAGTGTTTGTCCTCCAAATCACGTAGTGTCCCTAAGGAACAATCTCATTAGTAGGCGGGTTCCCACAGATCTTCAGATCTGAACAGCGGTTGGCTTTTAGACATTTTATATATTATCAGAGAAGTAGCCTAGTGGTGGCGGGGCACAGACAAAATAGATAGGGGCCGCTCTAAAGACCAGCTGTTAAGAGAGACAACCGCAAACTCATTTCAGCAATGGAAAAACAGCTGATTTTAGATTGTGAAGAAACACTTCTAAATTCAGACATAAAGCTGCCAAATCCGGATTTTTTAATGATGTCTTTTCGAATGTGTGTAACTGATTTTGGGAAAATCTTATGTTCAGAATTGAGGCTAAATGGTTTGATCAGGTTTTCTCTTTGAAGAGACCACAGCCTTAGGAAATGGCTCTTGATCTATATAATTCCACCTTTTAGTTATGAATCCTTGTATTTTTGAACACTGGGTTAATTTTGTTTGCCCCTAGAACACAATCACGTAGTTTCCTTCTAGATTGGATCCTGATGTATCTTGAGTATAATCACATGTTGCTACCTAGTAAATAAAATCTTTAAAAGATCCGTGGCTTTCTTTCACCAGTTGATAGCATCGTGATTCACTGCCCGGATTGGACTCGGCTCTACTCACTGGACATCTAACCTCTCCACTTTATTAACAGTATCCACACTACAGGGGTGTTGTGAGAATTAAAATTTAAAATACCTGTGTTTTCTACAGTGCCTGGCACACAGTAAACGCTCAAAAACTACTGTCAGCTCGTTACTGCTCAGAGGCCCGCATGAAGTCAGCCACAACTCAAGGTGACTCTAAAGATAAAAGCTGAGGCCAAAATATACGATTCTAAACACCCTCCTCAGCTACTGCAAAGTTGTGAGCACTTTCTCAGGACGAGAGCCAAGAAGCCCAGCACCTATGGGTCACCACAACTTCAGAGATCCCAGATGAGAAAGACGCGTTCGCTACCACCGTGCGGATATCCTTCCTCCCGCAATAGTCCCAATGCTCCCGGGCACCGCCTCCGGACGCCAGGCCGACCACCTGGACAGAGCTACAAAAATCTCGCCTTTTGCAAGGAAAACGAAAAGCTACGGCGACCGGAAGAGGAAGAGTTGCGGCTCCAACAGCCAGAGGGGCGGGCATACGCAGCCTCCCTTGGCTCAGCCTGCTACGGAGGATGCAGAGCGTCCTGGTAGCCATGAAAACAGGCCACACCCCGGCGATCCCGGCCCGTGGTTCGCAAGTGCGCAGGCGCGCGCCCCCTTCCGCGCATGAGCAGTGCGGCTCCCAGCCCGCCAGTCGCGGTCTCCGGCGCCAGCTACGCCGCTGCCGCTGTCACTATGGCCCATTACAAAGTGAGGGGGGCGCGGCGTGGCTGGGGGCATGCGGGCGGTAGCAAGCCGCTAGTCGGCTCTGGGTGGGAGTGGGGTCGCGCGCGCAGGTTTGGGCGCAGGGTGGGCCGGAGGTAGCGGGGTTGCCGGACTCCCAGCGCCTTCTTCCTGCTCGGCCCCCAGGCTCTGGCCACTGACCCCCGGTGTCTCCTCAGGCCGCCGACTCGAAGCGTGAGCAGTTCCGGAGGTACTTGGAGAAGTCTGGGGTGCTGGACACGCTGACCAAGGGTGAGCCTGGGCTAGGAGAGGGTACCTTGTGCCCTCATCTTGCTCCCTGGCGCTGCCTCGTTCCCCAGCGGGCCGTAGCGTGGGGAAGGAGGGGAAACAGGTGGGAGCCGTCCTGGGTCCAGCGAGGTGGGCTTCGGGGTTCGGCAGGGCCCTGGCTGCTGGACGCCGCCTGGATGGGGTAGCCTAGCTACGCTACCCTTCTCCGCACCGGGAGTGAAACTCTTGCAGCTGTTGCAAACTCTCCAACTTCCGTTGCTTTGCCTCGAGCAGCCGCAGTGGACGTGCTTGCCAAAGACCTTCAGATCCCAATTCCTCCCACCTTACGGTTTTTGTGGAGTCCTCATAATCTTGTTAAGAAACATTTTCCCTCCAACAAAGAGCAACTGGAAAAATGACCGAATTTGAAAGTGGGCTATGAAGTAGCTGAGTGAACCTAATCCCCAAAATAGGCGATTCATAGCTAATTTGGCTGTGGCTTTTCAACTCCCATACCTTAGTCTGTGTCAATTCTTATTTTGTGTGTATTTCATAAAGTAGAATTACAGTTTAAAGAGCTCGAGGGCGCATCAAAATGGTTACATTGTTTTCACTTTTTAAAAATGAAACCTTACTGTTAATATTACCTCTTCCTTCGTTGCTTCAAGATCTAAGTAAGTAGATGAGTAAAGTGTTGGAAACAGGATTCCGAGGGGTAGGGTACAGTTTACTTCATTAGCTTAGCAGTAATTTGAATGCCTGCTACGTGTCACTCAACTCTGGGATTTTCAAGGGTGTAGAATGGAATTGTTGGCAGGGATGAGGACCTAGGTCATAGAAACTAGGAAGTTTGGGAAGCGTGGGAAATAAATTGGAACTGCTCTTTGGACAGAAGCAAAGTTTAGGGGAAAATTCTAGGAGCATAACTCCTGGGTCTTAGCAGAAGGCAGGCTTTTAATTCCCATGGGCTAGTAATTTTGAATTGCTACCTATTTCAGATTCAGATAATAGGTTACCTCTTTGCAAATAAACTTCAACAAATATTAAGGGACTGCTCTGTGAAAGCACTGTGCAGCGTTGTCTCTGGAAGTGTCACAGATGCTTTGAATGTCATTCCCTCTAAAAACTCCAAAGTTCATGTATTTAATAATTTTACTCAGGCCTTTGTTCTGCCCACTGGAGATACAGCAGGGGAAGATAAAAGTCTCTGCTTTCATAAGCTTATATCCTAGTGGAGGGAGACAAATACATAAATTGTAGTGTCAGCCAGTGGTGTTACAGATAAAAATATAGCAGAGTTAGGGGGATAAAGAGGAACAAGTGAGGCCAGGCATTCCTCATGCCTGTAATCTCAGCGCCTTGGGAGGCTGAGGTGGGTGGATCTCTTGAGCCCAGGAGTTTAAGACCAGCCTGGGCAACATGGCAAAACCCCGTCTCTTTAAAAAAAAAAAAAAAAAAAAAAAATTGCTTGACATGGTGCTTGTCTGTAGTCTAGCTACTCTGGAGGCTGAGGTGAGAGAATCACCTGAGCCCAGGACTTCAAGGCTGCAGTGAGTTGTGATTGTGCCACTGGGCAACTGAGTAAGACGTTGTCTCAAAAAAAAAAAAAAAAAGTGACAGGTGGTGATGTGTGTGTCACTTTTATAGAGTGGTGGGGGGGGGGCGCTTTCTTTAGTAACTTTTGAGCAAAAACTTAAACAATGTATGTCAAGAGTTCCAGGAAGTATAAGGAGGCCAGAGTGGTTGGATGGAGCAAGTGAAAGACTGAATGGTGAAAGGCAGAAAAATGACAGTTGTAGGAGGTAACTGATTACACAGAAGATGTTGCCCAGGCTGGAGTGCAGTGGCATGACCTCAGCTCACTGCAGCCTCTGGGTTCAAGCAATTCTCCTGCCTCAGCCTCCCAAGGAGCTGGGATTACAGGCATGTGTCACCATGCCCAGCTAATTTTTGGTATTTTTAGTAGAAACGGGTTTTCACCATGTGAGCTAGGCTGATCTTGAACTTCTGGCCTTAGGTGATCCGCCTACCTCAGCCTCCCAAAGTGCTGGGATTACAGGTGTGGGCCACCTCACCCGGACTCCACTGGAATTTAACCTCTCAATCTCCTTAGATTTCCAGGCTCCTAAGTAACATCAGACAACACAGTATTGATGTGATTTATTAAAAATTTGACTTTCAGCTTCAAACATAGGTGCTTTACACAGTTCTATTTGTTTTTATTTTTTTTTAAGAGAGTCTTAGTCTGTCACCCAGGAATGCCTGGCCTCAAGTGATCCTCCTACCTTGGCCCCTCCAAGTGTTGATATTACAGGCATGACCCACTGTGCCCAGCCTCACAAATTTAATTTACATATATATGTATTTTTCGAGACAAGGTCTCTGGCCCCCATATTGGAGTGTTGTGGCACAGTCACAGCTTACTGCAGTCTCAAGCCCCCAGGTTCAAGCAATCCTCCCATCTCAGGCCCCCAAGTAGCTGGGACTATAGTTATGAACCACCATGCCTGGCTAATTTTTAATTTTCTTTTTTTTTGGTAGAGTTCCGGTGTTGTCCAGGTTGATCTCAAACTCCTGGGCTCAAGCAATCCTGCCTTGGCCTCTCAAAGTGTTGGGATTTCAGGCATGAGCCATCATGTCTGGCCTATATTTTTTACAGCTTATTTCTAAGAGGATTTAAAACTTTATAACATAAAACACTATGAAAAGATGGCTAAAGATAAAGATGAGAAATCATTTGGAAGCTGAAGCATTTTAGCTATTTTGAGCACTATATCAACCTCTAAAAATCCTGGGTGTGCTTTGGGAGGCCGAGGCGGGTGGATCACAAGGTCAAGAGATCGAGACCATCCTGGTCAACACGGTGAAACCCCATCTCTACTAAAAATACAAAACATTAGCTGGGCATGGTGGCGTGTGCCTGTAATCCCAGCTACTCAGGAAGCTGAGGCAGGAGAATTGCCTGAACCCAGGAGGCGGAGGTTGCGGTGAGCCGAGATCGCGCCATTGCACTCCAGCCTGGGTAACAAGAGGGAAACTCCGTCCCAAAAAAAAAAAAATGGGTGTGAAGGCAAAAGGGGAGCATGATTGGGTATAGAGTTCTTATCTACTTGGGGGTCTGAGGTGGGAGGATCTGATTAAAAGGGAGTGAAAAGCACAGCAAACTTAGCATTTACATTATGTTCTGCAATTATCAAAGTTGTAAGTACCAGTGACAGAAATTAGAAGCCGAAGGAAATGGGGTGGGGGAATAAGAGGAGGAGGGGGTATTAATATTCATGTCTCATAAAATTAGGATTTGGCTGGACGCGGTGGCTTTCGCCTGTAATCCCAGCACTTTGGGAGGCCGAGGCATGCGGATCACCTGAGGTTGGAATTTGAGACCAGCCTGACCAACATGGAGAAACCCTGTCTCTACTAAAAATACAAAACTAGCTGGGCGTGTTAGTGCATGCCTGTAATTCCAGCTACTCAGGAGGCTGAGGCAGGAGTATCGCTTGAACCCAGGAGGCAGAGGTTGCAGTGAGCCGAGGTTGCACCATAAACTCCATGCTGGGCACAAGAGTGAAACTCTGTCTTTAAAAAAAAAAAAAAAAAAAAAAGGATTTAGTAGGGATAAGTGGAAATTAATGGAAGGAGCAGCAGAAGTTTGAGCATATAATTTAAAGAAAAAGGTAATAAAGAATAAAGAGTTCTGCCGGGCGCGGTGGCTCAAGCCTGTAATCCCAGCACTTTGGGAGGCTGAGGCGGGTGGATCACGAGGTCAAGAGATCGAGACCATCCTGGTCAACATGGTGAAACCCCGTCTCTACTAAAAATACAAAAAATTAGCTGGGCATGGTGGCACGTGCCTGTAATCCCAGCTACTCAGGAGGCTGAGGCAGGAGAATTGCCTGAACCCGGGAGACGGAGGTTGCGGTGAGCCGAGATCGCGCCATTGCACTCCAGCCTGGGTAACAAAAGCGAAA